GCCCAGGGAGCCTTTGATGAGGCTGATAGGGATCAATGGGACAGGGGAAGAGGCCTTAACTGACTGTGTTACAGACGGGGCGGGCAACTGCTGGAGCCTGCCGGCAATAGAGATCAATGATTATTGGGCGTCATCACCGCCTTGATCTGCATATAGGAATCCATTCAGCATCAGACACAGGCCCATTTGTGGCTGATGTCTTTGGTGCCTTGTGCTATTCGACCTCTTTTAAGACAGATAGATGCTTTATTCATCCCTCAGGGAAACACAGCCACTTCCAAACAATAAGGTGGCAAGAAACACTTCCATTTAGTCTTCTAAACTACATACACAAGCTAAAAAGTCTCAGTATAATGTAAAAATAAATGTATAGACTGATAAGGGAGGGGGGTGCTGTGGTGAGATGTGTGTTTGCTGAGCAGGGAGGCCTAGTGTTTACATTTTTTGTTTTCCTCTTATTTTTTATTTTATTCTCTCTCAGTCCCACACACATTGTCCCACTACCACTATGACTAGAGACTAAATTGGGTTCATCCGCTGCTGAAAATAGTCCCCAACAAATGCACTGGTTCCTCTTGTTTGTTTGATAAAAACTACAGTGAGCAGCTGTTTGAGGAAGCTCCTGAGCCTTGTTGAATGAAAATATATATTTGCAAAGTGTTTTTAAAGATTTAAGTCCTGTGGGTTTGGAGCGGAGAGGCACATATAAGGCAGTGCATGTGATGCACTAACACTGTTGATCATTTCATCTGTTGAGAATACTGACAGCCTTATCCTTTAACGTTTTGAGAGATCTGAGCAGCGGTTCTGTTGGGATGTGTGTCTCCCTCTGTCAGCACCTGGGGTGGGGGGTGGAGGTGTGTTTGTGTCCATAACAGAGCAGCAAACAGGCCCATTAGAGATGAAAGGAGCCAATCAAAGACAAGCCCAGCAGGAGACTGATGCCCCACAGACCTGGGACTGGGGCTGAGGACGCCCTCATCACAGATAAGGAGCATTTACACACACTCACATCAAGCACAATCAGAGTTTCTGTTTCCCCACAGTACACATGGGTGACAGATGAGAGGACAAACCCCCATCCAGTCCCCAGCCGGGCCTTGTCAGGGCCAAGTCTCCAGAGCCTTGTCAGGTCTCCTCTGTTGGAGGAGGAAACCTCCTCCTTCCAAACCAGATCCCCTCATTGTGTTCGACCCGCTGTGTCTGACCTCACGGTGTCCAACCCGCTGTGTCCGACCCACGGTGTCCAACCCGCTGTGTCCGACCCACTGTGTCGTCCTCATGAAGCCATTCAGTGACCTAGAGCTGCAGCCATGAGTCAGTTCACTGGTAGAAAATGAACCTCAGCTATTTAGAAGCAACAGTCACCGACATGTTCTGGTTCCACCTTCTTTAATGTGAGGAGCTGATGCTTTTCTTTGTCAGACATGAGAATCAGCTGAGTCTCTGTGGATCTGCTGGTTGTGGAGACGTCACCTTTGGCTCTGGAGAGTCATAGGGGGTCTTTTTCCCAGTGTCTGACATTCTGGGGACAAACAGATCTATCAGATCATCAGGACGGTGATCAGCTGATTGATCAGTGACCCTGTAGTTTGGGTTTTCATTCAGTTATTCAGGGGTTTTCTTCTGTATCAGGACTAGAGCAGATGTACAACAAATATTGTGCAGAAATCCTTGGAGCAAAATTAAAGTAAAAGTTAATGGGTCTGTTCACTCAAATAATAAAAATACATAAATAAAAACGAAGCCAATCAAATTGTCCACAGCTGAGTTTGGCCCCAGCCTCAGTTCAGTGAAGGGATTTTTGTTTCTAATGCTCAAAGCATTAAAACATACAATGACAGTAAAATAGGTCCTGTTATCATCCCCAGCCATTGTTTGTCAGTATTCATTTCTAACTTAATTCCTGGTCTTTGAGAACAAATGCACCTGAAAGTGGCTTCATCTTTCTGTTGGAGCAACTCCTGCAAATCCTCCCTCTCTTTGACAAACATATCTCAGAAAGTAATCATGTCTTTGCTCTCCAGCTGCATGTGCACAACAGCTGTGTGATGTTTTTTCATTTCTGGGCCAAGGATCTGACATTCATGTCTACTTCCCATCGTGCACGTCTCTGTCTAGTGCTTCTTTTTCATTCCTTACCCAACAACCTGTGACTGTCTTGAAATGATGAAATAAAAATTTCTCAAACTTAAAAGTTCATATAAAGTGATTTCTTTCACTCTGCTCAAGATTATTTTGTGCTTCGTGTTGCTCGAAAAATAATTGTTAGCTAAATGAATATTTTCTTTTACATTACAAGCAAACAAAAAACACCCTGCAGAACTCCATAGATCTGCATCGTGAATAACTACAGAAAACTGTAAAAATAAAAATAAAACCCACAGATTCTGTCTGAATCATGACTAATGATCAGACTCAACGCCCTGAAACCCGGCGACCATGTTTCTGATGCAGTAACCCAGACTCCCAGGTGCACGTCAGACTGGACACAAAACTTCCACTTAGGAGTTTAATCATTATATTAAATCATTAACTACGTTTTAAAAATAACTTTAAAAAACCTACATCATGTGTCGTTTCTTGATTTGGACATATTTTTGCTTATGATTTGTTTTTCTTTCATAAATTCAATGTTTTTGTTATCCTGCACGAGCTTTTATTGTGAAGCACTTTGTAATTTTAATTTTTAAAATAACTATACAAAATAAATCTTTACTTAGTCTTTTGATTTTAAAGCACATTTTGCTTCTGTACTTTTTAAAGTACTTGTTGTATTTACTAAAGTAAAGGATCTGGATATTTCTATAATGCCTGTTTCTGAATTTTGTACTTTTACTTTTGGTGCATTGGCTGATAATACTTCAGTACTTTTACTTGTAATGGAGTTTCCATCGCTGTGTTTATTTAAAAAGGATCCAATTACTCAGGTCAGATAAATAAAGTTTGAAATAACAGAAATCCTCGTTCCTAGTGGCGACCTGTGACGACCTG